TGCTCATAACTCCTTAAATATTGACTTTAGAGCGTTTTTAGCTATTATTTGTGATCACTTTTTTAAGTGTGAATTAATCAATATTTTAAAATGGCCATAACTCCTTAAATATTGACTTTAGAGCGTTTTTAGCTATTATTTGTGATCACTTTTTTTAGTGTGAATTAATCAATATTTTAAAATGGCCATAACTCCTTAAATATTGACTTTAGAGCGTTTTTAGCTATTATTTGTGATCACTTTTTTAAGTGTGATTTAATCAATATTTTAAAATGGCCATAACTCCTTAAATATTGACTTTAGGGCGTTTTTAGCTATTATTTGTGATCACTTTTTTAAGTGTGAATTAATCAATATTTTAAAATGGCCATAACTCCTTAAATATTGACTTTAGAGCGTTTTTAGCTATTATTTGTGATCACTTTTTTAGGTGTGAATTAGTCAATATTTTAAAATGGCCATAACTCCTTAAATATTGACTTTAGAGCGTTTTTAGCTATTATTTGTGATCACTTTTTTAGGTGTGAATTAGTCAATATTTTAAAATGGCCATAACTCCTTAAATATTGACTTTAGAGCGTTTTTAGCTATTATTTGTGATCACTTTTTTAGGTGTGAATTAGTCAATATTTTAAAATGGCCATAACTCCTTAAATATTGACTTTAGAACGTTTTTAGCTATTATTTGTGATCACTTTTTTAGGTGTTAATTAATCAATATTTTAAAATGGCCATAACTCCTTAAATATTGACTTTAGAGCGTTTTTAGCTATTATTTATGATCACTTAGTCAATATTTTAAAATGGCCATAACTCCTTAAATATTGACTTTAGAGCGTTTTTAGCTATTATTTGTGATCACTTTTTTAGGTGTGAATTAGTCAATATTTTAAAATGGCCATAACTCCTTAAATATTGACTTTAGAGCGTTTTAGCTATTATTTGTGATCACTTTTTTAGGTGTTAATTAATCAATATTTTAAAATGGCCATAACTCCTTAAATATTGACTTTAGAGCGTTTTTAGCTATTATTTGTGATCACTTTTTTAGGTGTGAACTAATCAATATTTTAAAATGGCCATAACTCCTTAAATATTGACTTTAGAGCGTTTTTAGCTATTATTCGTGATCACTTTTTTAGGTGTGAATTAGTCAATATTTTAAAATGGCCATAACTGCTTAAATATTTACTTTAGAGCGTTTTTAGCTATTATTTGTGATCACTTTTTTAGGTGTGAACTAATCAATATTTTAAAATGGCCATAACTCCTTAAATATTGACTTTAGAGCGTTTTTAGCTATTATTTGTGATCACTTTTTTTGGGTGTGAATTAATCAATATTTTAAAATGGCCATAACTCCTTAAATATTGACTTTAGAGCGTTTTAGCTATTATTTGTGATCACTTTTTTAGGTGTGAACTAATCAATATTTTAAAATGGCCATAACTCCTTAAATATTGACTTTAGAGCGTTTTTAGCTATTATTTGTGATCACTTTTTAAGTGTGAATTAATCAATATTTAAAAATGCTCATAACTCCTTAAATATTGACTTTAGAGCGTTTTTAGCTATTATTTGTGATCACTTTTTTAAGTGTGAATTAATAAATATTTTAAAATGGCCATAACTCCTTAAATATTGACTTTAGAGCGTTTTTAGCTATTATTTGTGATCACTTTTTTTAGTGTGAATTAAACAATATTTTAAAATGGCCATAACTCCTTAAATATTGACTTTAGAGCGTTTTTAGCTATTATTTGTGATCACTTTTTTAAGTGTGATTTAATCAATATTTTAAAATGGCCATAACTCCTTAAATATTGACTTTAGGGCGTTTTTAGCTATTATTTGCGATCACTTTTTTAGCGTTTTTAGCTATAATTTGTGATCACTTTTTTTGGGTGTGAATTAATCAATATTTTAAAATGGCCATAACTCCCTAAATATTGACTTTAGAGTGTTTTTAGCTATTATTTGTGATCACTTTTTTTAAGTGTGAATTAATCAATATTTTAAAATGGCCATAACTCCTTAAATATTGACTTTAGAGCGTTTTTAGCTATTATTTGTGATCACTTTTTTAGGTGTGAATTAGTCAATATTTTAAAATGGCCATAACTCCTTAAATATTGACTTTAGAGCGTTTTTAGCTATTATTTGTGATCACTTTTTTAGGTGTGAATTAGTCAATATTTTAAAATGGCCATAACTCCTTAAATATTGACTTTAGAGCGTTTTTAGCTATTATTTGTGATCACTTTTTTAGGTGTGAATTAGTCAATATTTTAAAATGGCCATAACTCCTTAAATATTGACTTTAGAGCGTTTTTAGCTATTATTTGTGATCACTTTTTTAGGTGTTAATTAATCAATATTTTAAAATGGCCATAACTCCTTAAATATTGACTTTAGAGCGTTTTTAGCTATTATTTGTGATCACTTTTTTAGGTGTGAACTAATCAATATTTTAAAATGGCCATAACTCCTTAAATATTGACTTTAGAGCGTTTTTAGCTATTATTTGTGATCACTTTTTTAGGTGTGAATTAGTCAATATTTTAAAATGGCCATAACTCCTTAAATATTGACTTTAGAGCGTTTTTAGCTATTATTTGTGATCACTTTTTAGGTGTTAATTAATCAATATTTTAAAATGGCCATAACTCCTTAAATATTGACTTTAGAGCGTTTTTAGCTATTATTTGTGATCACTTAGTCAATATTTTAAAATGGTCATAACTCCTTAAATATTGACTTTAGAGCGTTTTTAGCTATTATTTGTGATCACTTTTTTAGGTGTGAATTAGTCAATATTTTAAAATGGCCATAACTCCTTAAATATTGACTTTAGAGCGTTTTAGCTATTATTTGTGATCACTTTTTTAGGTGTTAATTAATCAATATTTTAAAATGGCCATAACTCCTTAAATATTGACTTTAGAGCGTTTTTAGCTATTATTTGTGATCACTTTTTTAGGTGTGAACTAATCAATATTTTAAAATGGCCATAACTCCTTAAATATTGACTTTAGAGCGTTTTTAGCTATTATTTGTGATCACTTTTTTAGGTGTGAATTAGTCAATATTTTAAAATGGCCATAACTCCTTAAATATTGACTTTAGAGCGTTTTTAGCTATTATTTGTGATCACTTTTTAGGTGTTAATTAATCAATATTTTAAAATGGCCATAACTCCTTAAATATTGACTTTAGAGCGTTTTTAGCTATTATTTGTGATCACTTAGTCAATATTTTAAAATGGTCATAACTCCTTAAATATTGACTTTAGAGCGTTTTTAGCTATTATTTGTGATCACTTTTTTAGGTGTGAATTAGTCAATATTTTAAAATGGCCATAACTCCTTAAATATTGACTTTAGAGCGTTTTAGCTATTATTTGTGATCACTTTTTTAGGTGTTAATTAATCAATATTTTAAAATGGCCATAACTCCTTAAATATTGACTTTAGAGCGTTTTTAGCTATTATTTGTGATCACTTTTTTAGATGAGAATTAATCAATATTTGAAAATGGCCATAACTCCTTAAATATTGACTTTAGAGCGTTTTTAGCTATTATTTGTGATCACTTTTTTAGGTGTGAACTACTCGATATTTCAAAATGGCCATAACTCCTTAAATATTGACTTTAGAGCGTTTTTAGTTGTTATTTGTGATTTGGTGATTTTAGGTGTGAATTAGTCAATATTTTAAAATGGCCATAACTCCTTAAATATTGACTTTAGAGCGTTTTTAGCTATTATTTGTGATCACTTTTTTAAGTGTGAATTAATCAATATTTTAAAATGGCCACAACTCCTTAAATATTGACTTTAGAGCGTTTTTAGCTATTATTTGTGATCATTTTTTAGGTGTGAACTAATCAATATTTTAAAATGGCCATAACTCCTTAAATATTGACTTTAAAGCTTTTTTAGCTGTTATTTGTGATTTGGTGATTTTAGGTGTGAATTAGTCAATATTTTAAAATAACCATAACTCCTTAAATATTGACTTTAGAGCGTTTTTAGCTATTATTTGTGATCACTCTTTTAGGTGTGAATTAGTCAATATTTTAAAATGGCCATAACTCATTAAATATTGACTTTATAGCTATTATTTGTGATCACTATTTTAAGTGTGAATTAACCAATATTTTAAAATGGCGATAACTACTTTAATATTGAGTTTTCAGCGTTCTATGTGAGTATTTTATCACCTGGGAGAGAATTATCGATATAGTTCCTCGATATCGTATAGTTCTCTATAACTTTACTCCCCGATATTCGGTATTTTGATGATTTCAGCCACATTTTTCAATGGAATTGTCTGAAAATCCACACAAGGACTTCCATATGAGTACTTTACTTCCAAGAAGAAAATTGTCAAAATAGGTCCACGTTTTAATATAGCGGCCATATAACGGTAGCCCCAGATATTCGATATTTTCATGATTTTTGCGGCATTATTCACCGGAATTATTTCAAATTTAGTATATAAAGTAAGGAACCAGCCTATGACACAAATTACTCGTATACGTTTAGCCGGCTTAACGGTTTTCATTTCAGCAATATTTTTCGACGAATTTTTGTTATTTCTTCCAAATAGTGGAGGGTATAAAAAGTTCTCTGGCCTGGCCGAACTTAGCTGCAGTTTACTTGTTTTTAATTGATAATGGTCAGTATAGAACCCATAAGTCTGTCTCATTTGCCAAAGAAATTGCCTTAAATTTGGTATTTCAAACCTTCAATGGGAGCTGAATCCTTTGGAAAAAATTTCGAGATGAGTCTATTGTTACGTATTTCTCTTATGTAGCAGTAAATCCCAATAATCAGTATTTGGAATATTTTATGCACGTTAGCGTTGTTAATTATACCTATTTTAGATTTCGATTTTTAATGGTTTCTTCAATAGTTCAACTCCTTCCGACAAATTGAAAGCTTTTTGGAAAGCCTCAGTTAAAAAACGGAGATTTTTATAGTTTATATTTGCACTTACCTTTCGCTGGGCTTCAAATTCGAATCCACAATATACTTCATTCCATGTAGCGTCGTTTGGCGACAGAATTCTTTGGTATTTTGCCAAAAGATTTCCCGAACACTTTGAGTTTCATAGACCCTACCGAAATGCCAGAATTTTTTGAGATTTTTCCACAACAGCATTGCAAGCAAATGTAATACCAAAACCGAACTTTGTGACACTTCAAAACACTTTGAAGGACTTTTTCAACATTTTTTCTTTATATAAGAAAACCCTATCATAATAAAATGCCTTGCGTATTTCCACAACAATTGCAAAGAAAATATTTAACCATAATTTTCCAGTTGTTACCAACATTTTTATAACCAAAATGAAAAAAGCCATCCTAATTGTTTTTTACAACTTATAGCACTTAAGTTTTGATTGGATTTTATTAATTTACATAAACATTCCTTTATGTTTATTTTCATAATATGATTTGTTTATTTGGATTTATTGTAACTTCCATTGCTGTTCCATGACAGTCGTTTATTGAAAATATCATTGTCCAATTGCAAACTTGGCCGACGTTCCATTGTTGGCTTTTGGTGACTTAGGGGTGGAAATAGTTGTAGTTTTTTCGACTTGGACAAATGGTCAGGTATGCGAGTGATGGTCCTCTCAGTTGGACTTACAAATCGCACCTGATAGTCACGTACTGGTGGTGGATTTCGGGGTTTTGATTTGGACTGATTGAGGCGATCATGTTTTTTGATTTTGTGATAGGGCCGCAATATGGCATAATAAATGAATTCGGCAATCGAGATGAAACTGAAGCCCATAAAGAGACCCATCAGACCACCAACACTGGCTGAAAAGAAAAGGTACACGTGAGACGTCTAATGTCTTTAATTGTCGTATCCTCAATACTCACACAAAAAATCCGTAATTCCCACGAACTCCGTCTGTTTGGTACTGCGAAAAGTGTTATCCGTAAAATAGAAATGTGTCACAGCCATACTCTTCTCAGCATAATCACTGGACATTTTCTTTATCAGCTTATTGGCAATTTCGAAACCCTCATGGGATATGGGGGCCGAAAAGAAATCGCTGTAAAAATTCAAATCAAAACAACTGGGCCAACAGATGTGTTGGCAATCTTCCAGCACTACCCGTGACCGATTGATGTAACTCTGGGCCACCGCATTAACACATGGCGTATCTACAATACCACATATCCTTGTATTATTCTCAATTATTGGCATATAATAGGCCAGGCAATTACAGCGTTCCAACAAGCGGCGAGCCTGACATTCCGTTTCACAATTACGCCGATTGTAATACGAATAATAAGTCAAATGTTGTTCTCCATCGAACAGACACTGACGATATTTCCTATGAATAGATTTGAGATTTAATGCAGCCTCTGTTTTGTCGGGACGTATGCGTATCTTTGTTTCATATCCAGCTGGTAAGAGGGTACCAATCTCTTTGACATGCGGCACTTCTGCCGGGCTGTGCAAAGCCATTTTAATACCCACACTCGATGTCGATGAACAATAGTAGTCATTGATATCAACATCAAAGGTAATGCTAAGCCCAAGAGTTTGACCTGTTCCCACTGCTGTGCGTGGATAAAAATTATCGGGTAAATTCTCTGGATAACCTTTTTCCGGATTCCAATTGACGGCGACAGCATCATCCGTATAGGGTAACTCACGTTTTCTGGGAACGCTGAAATTAAATTTTATTAATTTTTAATTTTGTAATATTAGTGTTCAACATACTTTGGCTTGTACATAAAATTTGGATCCAACTTATTGAAAACACAGCATAATCCTTCATCTGTTACAATGGTTCGAAAAATATCCTTGCAGTTGTAATCAGCTCCACCAAAATTGCAACCAATTATCATTTCTTCACATGGTTGAGATATCTGTAAAAATAGATAGAAAATATATTTGTTAATTACTCATGCCCATATTGAGATCGGCACCGTCGCTTTCTTTATCCGTGCATAAAATTACAATTTAAAATACTGAAAAAAATTAGACAAACAAATTGCAAAATCGAAAAAGTAATTTTATTTCAAAATTATTTCACCATATCGCCGCCACAAAATCTTCAAAAAAAAAATCATACAAAGGTTGCAAAAATAGTGTAATCCGTAAACATTTTGGTGTATTCACATCTAAAGGTACTGAACTCTTTGAGCAGTGGTTTGCTATGTTACTTAGCCAAGACATTTTCAATAAAAGTGGGCTATTATTTAGCGTGTCGTGTCGTTTTCTTAGTTTAGAACATTTTGATTTGATTCAAACATTTCACATCGTAATACTTCTATCAAACATAGATCGAATTCGAATCGCAAGTTATGAGAGATATAAGTGTTGAATATTGTGATACTTTGTGGGTGAGGTACCAGAAGGGGCTGACCGATACCCATCATTTAGATATATTGATATATTGTGATGTGTAAATTTCGAAGAGAATCGAATGATTATTCTGCATTATTGCATTTTTCATAATTATTCAAAATTTTTACTCCTTTGTGGGTCATCAGATTTTGGAAAAAAAAAACATTGAGGTACGTAAAATTTAAAAAGAATCGCAAGCTTATTTCGCATTTTATTAGGGTTTTAGTTATTCGAAACTATGCCCCCTTTTGGGGTTGTCGTACTAGAAGGAGTTAGCTGGTATACCCCATCTTTACACCAGATCTTGAAATGATAAAAATATTGATATGTGTGGTATTTGAAGAGAACCGTATACTCATTTCGTATTTTATAATCGTTTTGGTTATTCAAAATGTTGACCTTTCGTGGGGGGGACCAGAAGGTGTAAACCGATATATCCCATCTTTACATTAAATGTTGCATTGATCCAAATTATGGAATGTAAAGAGTTTGCAAGGAATCGGATGTTCATTTCGCGTTTTATAAGCTTCATGGTTATTCAAAAATTTGACCCTTTGTGGGTGGAGGTACCAGAAGGTGTGGGCCGATTCCTACCGTCTTTATACCAGATCTTGTGTTGCTAGAACTTTTAGGTTGCGTGAAATTTAAAAAGTATCGAATATTAATTTCACGTTTTTTTTTGACCGTCATGGTTTTTCAAAATGTTCACCCTTTGTGAGGGAGGTACTTGATAGACTAAGCCAATATTGCCAATTTTTGCACCTGACCCAGAACTGATAAAAATATTAGGATATGCAAAGTTTGCAAATAATTGGATGATCCTATTTTTACTATTTTTGGGGAAGCTGGACAGATATTCGACATCCCCGAACTCGATCTTAGTTCGACTATAATATTAGGATGTACAGTGCGCACCAGCCAGCCAGACAGACGGACGAACATCCCTAAGTTCAACTGCAAATGTCCTGAAACTGATTTGGTCCAAAGAGATCTAGGGTCTAAAACCGATATTTGGATGAGGCATGTTTTGGTCGAATCAAATGATATATACCCTCTGTAGCCACATGGCTGAGGGTATAAAAAAAATAAAAAGCAGTACGTTCGGCCAGGTAGAACTTTCAATACCCTTCACTATTTGGAACGAATTTGGAAATTTTCAAAAAAAAAACCGTTAACAAGAATACAGAATATACGTAGTTACCGTTATATTGGGGTGCATGCGAAAACGTGGATGTGCATGGGCAATTTTGTCATAGGCCATTACAATATTCCAATACGAAACTTTGAACAATTCCGGTGATTAATGTCGCAGAACATCAAAATACCGAATATAGGAAGGATCAGTTATATGGGGTCTATAAGAAAACCTGGACTCGAATAGACAGTTTTCTGTCAGAGGATGAAGTACCCATTATGAAGTGCAAATGCGAAATTTTAAACCATTCCGGTGAATAATGTAGGTAAAATCATCAAAATACAGAATATTGGGAGGTACCGATATATAGGGGCTAAACGAAGACCTGGACCTGCATAGCCAATTGACTCTGTCGCAGGCAATACCATCTTTTTTTGCGAAATCCAATAAAAAATGTCGTAAAAATTATCAAAATACCGAATATTGGGAGATACAGTTATATGGGGGCTATATATAAATGTGGACCTATATATAAATGTGGACCTATATAGCTTTTTTTCAATACCAAAAGTACTGCATTTCAAGCACACATTTGAGTAAAATTTTATCAACCGGAAGCTAGAGTGATTTCCACAGACAAAGAGACGGATGGTCATCGTTAAATCGACATAGAATTTTATGCGGATTATGAATACTTTGAGGGGTCTGAAATGTATATTTTTTTACGTACTGAATTACAAACTTTATATAACCTCCATACTATGGTGGAGGATATAAAAACTTCTTCTGCAAAAGTAAAAAAGTTAAAACAAGTAAATAGACGTTAATTTCCCCTGGACCGAACTCAAAAATGTAGAAGTTATTTCTATGGGGAGTTACTTTTACTAATTTTTGAAAGAAGTTAATTCACCCAAAAAAGCCCGTAATATCAAATAACAACTGATTTGGTTAACAATTGGTTGAAATGTTTCCCAACTTTTTTCATGGACTTCCTGACAAAAAGGCTTGATTTTCAAGACTTTTTATACCCTACAACACTATGCGTTGGAGGTATTATAAGTTTGATTGAGCCAAAAATTATGTAACACCGCAAAATATTTATTCTACACATAGGAGGCTATATACGGATCTTCCTATCTCGCCGAGCTGAGTCGATCTAGCTATGTATGTCCGTCTGTCCGCGTTAATTTGTAATCAAGCTACAGGTCGCAATGACGAAATTGAAAATGTAGGCGGGTTAGGGACAGAATAGCAGCCTATTCTTTTTGGAGATGATGGCAACGTATTTAGGGATTGAAGTGGACAAAAACAGAAAAATGTCTCAATTTTGCAGTTGCTCTACAGGTCGCAATTATGTATCAATCGACGCGGAAGTTAGAATGGGGCTAGACCTTAGGGCTGTGTTAGGGTCAGAACTAAAGTCTAGATGTACATTAAGCGGTTCAAATGGGCCAAAAAATTTAATTTTTTTCTGATCACATTTCACAATTGAAAACCAATCGGCACGAAATTTAGCATGAGAAGGGAGTTAAGTATAGGGAAGAACAATTTGGATGACCACTGGATCATCAACTTTCGTGTGAAAATTTTTTTGAATACCTAACAACAAGAATGTATGCGGAAATATTGGGCAAATCCCCCGGTTAAAAACTTAAAGGTTACATCGGGCAGAGCTCTATAATATTATTTCAAAAACGAAATTTTCCAAAATGGATTTGGACATAAGGGGACTTCCAACATATTGTAGTGTTGTATGGTATCTCATGTCGGCCCCGCACGACTACAGCATTTGATTACTTCTTAATATTTTTATTCATTGACTTCGTAACAAAAAACAGAACATCAAATCAGGCTTGGCAATATGCTTATAACATATTTTCTGGTAAAAAATAAAGAACTGTCAAAGGAACTTTTTTCTTCCACTATCGCATGGTGCAAGGCTTGAGAACATGACTTTAGCTTTGAGCATAAAAAAATAGTTTGGTCCAAATAATACACTTACATTCAAAATAAAATCCTCAAATAAATTCCAATTGATGGCGGATGCAACAGTTTGATTAACTTCATTTTTGCACAAAAGCTGCAGCATTGCAAATTCGCTGGAAGCTCTAAAACGCAAAACCAAACATTTTATTTCGCCTCCCTTCAATATATCATCACATTCGATTGCACTCACTCATTATACACTTGAGCTTTTTTCTTTGATGCTTGATTTAAATTACAAAAGGTAATTGCCGGAAATGGCTCATTAACGATAAAACTTGGCTCCGGACTAATACCGACAATAACCGGTGTCGAACGCCATTTCGCATAGACGTCTCGTATAAAGAATACAGACAACAGGACGACAGCAACAAATGATAACGCGAAAAATATCCTTTCGCCAGGATACAATTGTTCGTCGACCACATATTTTAGACCGTGCAACGTTGAATGCGTGCAAAATTCTTCGGTATTTTCACTGAAAACATGTTTCAAATTCACCGAACTCTCACGTTTAAGTAACAGCGGTTTATCCATGCCTGTGCCCATGGGAGCCTGTAGTCTAGGACGATTTGGAACGCTCATAGTTTGAAGTTGAAATTGATACTGATAGCTGGTGATGTCCAGCGTTCATTCATATATTGTTGATTTAATTGAACTTGATTTGGTAATTACACAACGGTGTAATTTTAAGGACCATCGTTTACTTGTGAGTGAGTGCAGGGGGTGGTATGGTAATTGGTGGTATCGTTTTATCCATACACATCCTTAAAAGAAATTGTTGACATTGCATCAAAGTGTGACAAGTAAAACTTTGCAGTAGCAAAAATAAAAATATATATATTTTTTAAATAAAAACCAACTAAGCCAATAATGCCTGGCAAATACAAATAAACATTTTTTTTTTGAAAAAGTTAGGAAAATACGTATGACATGGAATGAAAGGTTTGGCAAGAAACTTAGTTCGAAGTCAAATTCTTTTATATGGACTCCAATTAGCAGAAAAGAAACAGAACAAGAACAACAGCGAAAAGCCCATCTTAAAATTTAAGATTCGTTCCAACAGTTCATATTGGGCCTTTTTATACCCTCCACCATACTATGGGGGGTATATTAACTTTGTCATTCCGTTTGTAACTCCTCGAAATGCTCATGTCAGACCCAACAAAGTATATATATTCTTGATCAGCGTAAAATTCGATCTAGCCATCTCCGTTTGTCTGTTGTAATCACGCTATCTTTCGAACGAATTGAGATAGAAGGCTAAAACTTTGCACACATGTTTATTTTTCCAGTAGGCAGGTTAAGTTCGTAAATGGGCCATGTAGATCCACGTTTTCATATAGCCTTCATATAACGGTACCTCCCGATATTCGGTATTTTGATGATTTTAGCGACGTTATTAACCGGATTTGTTTCAAATTTGGTATTTGAAGTTCGATACTACAGCCTTAGACAGAAAACTGTCTGTGCACGTCCACGTCTTCGTATAGCCCCCATATAACGGTACCTCCCGATATTTGGTATTTTGATGATTTTAGCGACGTTGTTAAACGGATTTGTTTCAAATTTGGTATTTGAAGTTCGATACTACAGCCTTAGACAGAAAATTGTCTGTGCACGTCCACGTCTTCGTATAGACCCCATATAACGGTACCTCCCTATATTCGGTATTTTAAAGATTTTAGCGTCATTATTCACCGGAATTGTTTCAAATTACGTATTTAGTAATGGGAATTACAGTCTGTGACGGAAAATTGTCTATGCAGGTCCAGGTCTTCGTATAGGCCCCATATACCAGAACATCCCTATATTCGGTATTTTGACGATTTTAGGTACAATACCCACCCAAATTTTTTGAGACGCGTATTTGAAGTTCGTAATAAATGCTACAGCCTATGGCAGAATTGTTATGATGATTTATGCTACATTATTCACCGTTTATTTCAAGTTTCGAATTTGAATATGGTAATGACTTATGGCAAATGGCTATGTAGGTCCACGTCGTATAGACACCAATATAACGGCTATATTCGGTATTTTATCTCCAAATTCATTCCAAATGGTGGAGCGTATTCAAAGTTCGGCCCGGCCGAACTTACTGTGATCAAAATTAATAGTACCATTTAGTACTTTTTGAACAATTTGCAAAATTTTTGGATTGTCCCTCTACCCAGTTTTGTACAATTTAGTTCTTGTCGTAAATTATAGCACAGATTTTCAAGACCAGCTTTATATCTTAACCACAGACACCAACAGTGACATCTAAATCAAATATCGGTATTTCAGCTCTATTCTTTATAGTACATATTTCCAAAACTCAATCTCAATCCCACGTACCAACAAAGACCTCCATATCAAATTTGAAGATTTCAGTCCGATCCCCTCACCCAATGTCAAGTTTAGTACCATTTAGAAATGCAGTACGCAATTTCCCAACCACCTCCAAATCTAAAACCCAGATACCATCTTTAATATCAAATTTCAGAATTTTATCTCTATTCCTTAATCCAATATAGATTATAGTACCATACAGTACTTTTCGTACAATTATATAGAATTATAATATAATACACATTTCTAATCTAATCTAATACCAAATTTCAGATTTCAAATACTATCTGTTCACCCAATACCCAGTTGTACCAATTAAAGTACTTTTTGTGCACTTGTAGTACTCATCTCCAAAACCACCTCTTTATCGCAAACCTGCCTACAACTTTATTTTCTTATCTTCATCTTAATATTTTAATCAGCCTGAAGCAACATCCCCCTACTTCAAATCTAGTGTGAATATGCGACTTAGTGGCCCATATTCTGTCGTTTTCAATCTTCTCAATTATATTTTCAGGTTAAACACAATGGTTTCACACTTCCCTAGCCGCCCTTATATATCATACCCTGTTTTGTTAAATTAAATGTACCGAAATGTGGGTCGATTTCATAGCTCACCATGTCCTCTACACCACCGTTTGTTCGGTTGTCCCATACCGGCTGTGTCAACCCACTCGTCTTAGGTTCCTTAATCGGAACACGTACTTCTCCTTTTGGTGGTTTTATATTTCCCATCGCTTTGGGTTTTTCATTTTTAAATTATAGACTTGATCGGGAGGCTCAAAGAACTAGACTCTTTTTGGAGAGTCAGCTACCAACGTCGCTCCTTCCTGACCACATGTACACTCTAAGACCTGTTTAGCTTTATTAAACATGGGATAAATTTATAAATTCTTTAGGATGTCTTTTTCATTTTTAGAAAATTATTTCAATTCACCGCCATTAAAATACTACCCCCATTCCTATTCTTCCCTCTAATTATATCTTTGGCGTGTTTTTCGTTGTTAGCCACTGTGTCACCAAAACCGCTTTCAACATTAACTAAATTGAAAAGTAAGCATGGTTATCAAATTATCAGACGGTAGGTAAGTTGTCTCGCGTTTAATTACAACAAACAATTTTATTAGTTTCGTTAGTTAAACAAAAGAACAAATTGTCCTCTGATACGTCGACGACGACGACGCATGTTTTGTATAACAACGAGGAAACAATGGTAATTACATGCGTCGAGTGAGTTACCCTTGCAGGTTAATTTGTGGCCAATTTAGTTGTTAACTTAGTTAAGTGTTGAAATTATGCTAGCAATTTTAGATTTCTATTTATACGCCGCGGGTAGCGTGTAAGAATTCATTTGAAAACAAAAAAAAATAATAACTGGATAGTTTACATATCCTTGTAACCTTGAAACAATTGATTAAATCATACTGTCTGGATTCATGGGGAGTAATTATACATATCATATCTGAGAGAGGAAAACGTGTTGAACATCCAGGACAAAGCTAATTATGTCTATGATTTTATCTTGGTAAATTGATTTGAGTAACCCGTTTGGTTTGGTAGCATATCCCCTAACCTTGAAAAAAATGGATGACATCTAGATTGGCAATTCAGGGCAAAGTTCATTGTGCCAATGGAAAACTGATTCCATCAACATGTGTTTACCTTTTTTCGTTGACGTCGTTGATGTTGTGCTGCATTCAATTGAAGACACCTTCGGACAATTTTTTATTTTTCTCTTTTTATTTTCAGAAAATACTTGTTTTTTGATGAATGCAATGTGTGTGTGTCTGTAGAATATCCTTAATAATGTCATACATTTTCTCTGCTTAATTATTAAATTGAAAAAAGTCCACGGATAAATCCAACAATGGATTCTCCGATGCACTGACAACCACACTGGGCAATGTCTCTTTCATGTGTACAGCTTCAACGGCATTATCACTGACATGATCAATGTGTGGTGGCAAAAGATTGGCTACCACTGAAGTGGTATTGGTATTTGAAGATACAAGAGACGTATCACTGGCACATACTGCAGTTGTTTGAATTTTACCAATATCCGTTTGCAGCAAATCATCCACTGCTCTTAGCAAACTTTCTTCAGATGGTGGCAATAGTTTTCCACCAGCTGAAAGATTTAATTTTTGAGCTGCTTCATCGGTTATGGTATTGTCAAGGGTAATCGAAAGATTTGTGTAATCTAAACTACGGCTATTCAAATTTGCCGACACCGATGTTGTGAGATTTTGAGAATTATTATTGTCTTGCGGTTCAGGTTCCATGGGTGACTCTATGGCAGTCATATCTAAGGCATATTGTCCTTCGGGTATGCCCAAAAGTTTCGAACATTTCTGATTTACAAAATGTAAACCGGATGTGTTGCGTATTAATCTAGAGCTTCTTAATTGTAATTGTTCCACCAGGTCATTTAGTTCGGCAAGAAAGAGATCAGCCTTTTGATCTTCATTAAGTTGTGGAGACCTTTGTAGTTTAGTGACGAGAAACCGGAATAGGGATACATCTTCTGCTTCTGGAGCTTTGCTAGATGTCAAAGTCACAGCTGTATCGTGATTGTTAAAAGATGTTTGATGATTGTCAGACGACGGTGTTACTGCTGTTGGCACTTTAATGTGATCAGGATGTTGAGCAAAATGTCTTTGCAGTCGTTTACCCAAAAATATTTTTTGGCAAGTTGGACATATTGCTTCGGGAGCAACTTTACGTTTAGGTGGTGGTGATGGTGTTAAAGGAGGATTGTCATCGATGGTTGTTGTATCCGACTCAGTGGCAGTGGAGAGAGTTGTACTTTGAGATCTATGCAGGTTTGCATCTACTTTACTATTGTGATATGAAACATCTCTTAAATCATTTAACAAATTTGGCAAAGACTCCTCATTTGATGTTTTCGAAGAAGTTTCCGAGAAACTTCCCAGACTAGATGATGGTATTCGCACCAAACGTCCGCTGCGAGTTTTTGTTTGAGGCATATTGGTATTTGGAGGTTTTTGTTGATTTAACGTTTGTTTAATTGCAGGTTCTTTTATTACAGGTTTTTTGGAATTGCTCAAAGACTCGTCGTCTTCTTTCAGCCTTTTTCTGGGTCTGCCAACTCTGGCCATCTTCTTTTCTTTAGGAACTTCCTCCATTGTGTTGCAATCTTCAGAATTCCCCTCAGAAGATTTCAAATCCAGCATATCTGGTTGGCAAAAACGATAGATAGTTTTTTGATTTGTTCGATGATGAGTCCGAATAACTTCATTGTTATTGCGATCAATGACAATGTCATCGCGTTTTGCAAGCTTTAAAATATCACAAGCCAAACGATAAAGATTATCCAATTCTTTTGGCACATTATCTCCGGCTTTAGTCTCTTTCTCTTCTACACAATTAGTATTTGGCAATTCCTCCTTAATATCATTAGTTGCTATATTTTCATTTGGAGTTTCCGCCACAATCTGCTTTCGTAATGGATTATGTTGTTGGATTTCACCCAACTCATATAAACGTTCAAATTCTTGTTCCCTCAAAATACGTCCAGCTTTCTCTAGGCTGGTTATAAAAACGTTTAACTTATGTTGGTGTCTACGATTGCGATCGTGTACATCAATGCCATCTATGCGTTTATATATTCCGGGTACCATAAATTTCGAACTCAAAGGTTGAAGACGATCATGTTCCACAGAGAACAGCAAAGGATCCTCACCCAATAGACTTTGTGTCTCAGATGCTAACAAAAACTCTTCGGTATGTGGCAGAAAATCCAAGTTAAATGATTCTGCCGGTTTTGGGAGCTCCACTTTTTTACTTTTAGTTTTTTTCTCTTCCTGCTTGTTTGGTTCGTTGGGAAATTCAAGATTCTGCAAGTAGAGGAAAGGGAAGATTTCAGTTAAACATTAAATACATTTAATGCGAAAGTTAAATTAAAATATTTTAAAATCTAACCATATCTAAATTGGTTAAACATGAGTAACCACAAAAAACAGGTGATTTTTATGTTTCCTTAAAATTAATATTGATTTCGCGTCATTTATCCTCTTAAAATTTGCCACTGCTTCTTTTTTGGACCAGAAAAAATTCGATGTAAATTTGGATTGTTTTTTTATACCATCAATGCCATCGTATACGAATATACAATTTTATCAAAATTGACAAAATTGGGTAAATTATTATTATTATTTTGGTGGATAAAGCGATAAAAGATAAACTGTAGCTCAATTTCGTAAAGGTGGTGATGATCTAGCTGTGGTGATGGGTTGTTCTGGAAGCAGAAGCAAGAAATCTTCAGTAGTGAGTTCAACACTAGGTTTAGTAGGGTGATGTGATCCGCGCCCAGGCTGAGGCTGAACTAAATCGATTAGGACGAAATGCCTACTGAATTAATTTATGCCTTCCTTTTTGATACGTCTTATCGGAGAAGTTCAATGCACTATGATGCGTGGTTTGGAAGACTCTAATTCGGCTTAAATTATTCGTTTGTGTTAAGGTACAAAAATAATCTTCGCATGCTCAAGTCGATGATCTCCAGATTTAAATTGTTTTCTAATACAAATCACTGCTCCACACATGCCACACTCACATCGCGCTTTAAGGAGTCGAATGTGGCACCATGATAGTTGAGTTATTAGTTGTTGGAATTATCTGTCCTTCTGCAAGCCCTCAGCTGAAATGTCATATCCGCAGTTTGTGTGGGCCATAAATTTAGTGCTGACTTTTTATGAGCTCGTATGGAAGTAGTCGGAAGGCTGCATCCCTCATACACAAGTGGACTTAACGATAACACCTGGCTTTCTGATTGAAATATGTTTTAAGAAAATATTTTTAAAGCAACTGACAGATTTTAACGCAATTTGCAGAGGAAATCTATCACTCTCGAAACACAGGACTTCAAAGACTTTAAATATTTTATCATCAGGAGCTGAACATTTCCAAATGCGGCATAAGTTGAGTTTAGGGGCTATGCTTGGATTGACCTGAAATTTTTACCGCAGGTAGGTATTTGTAACCTGATTACGGCAATATAATTTTTTTGTGGGGGAAATACCCGGTTACCCGGTTATTCGACCCAAAAGTTCGGATACAACATCCGGTTTATATCCGGTTCTACGTAACCGATATCAATAATATGGGTATCATTTGAAAGCTTATGAAAATACCTATCCAACAAGTGGTCATATGACGGGGAACTGGAACCTGTTTCGGAGAAATTTAGGAAAATATGCATTTTTGTATGAGTAATTTTTGAAAAACCCATAAAAACTCGAAAATGGACCCATTATAGGGTCTTAAAATCTATACACAATATTATAGCTAACACTATTGCCTTTCCAAAATGGTGTCATATGTGTTGACATCTTTTGTAGTTCCGAAGATATTGACTTTTAAAGTCGTTACTTATGAAAGCAGTTTGAGTGAACCCAAGTTTTGTGTCGGGTTTAACGTTCTTGTTAATCTGCTTTGTTTTTAATTTGGTGTTGTTAGAATATTATGGATCGCGTAGTCGGTGTTGGACATATCCCAGAGGAGAAAATCTTAAGCCCCGGCCGAAGGCCGGCTGCTTACAAAAATTACAATTTTTAGAAAAACTATGGATCGCGTAGCCGGTGTTGGACATACCCCAGAGGAGAAAATCTTAAGCCCCGGCCGAAGGCCGGTTGCTTAAAAAAGCTATAAAGGTCAAAGTCAAATGCATCTAGACTGGAGAAAAATATAATTTAATGAATTCTATCTCTTATATCCACGGAACCACAAAAGATATCAACACATATGACACCATTTTGGAAAGGCAATAGTGTTAGCTATAATATAGTGGGTCCATTTTCGAGTTTTTATAAATTTTTCAAAAAGTACTCATACAAAAATGCAAATTTTCCTAAATTTCTCCGAAACCGGTTCCAGCAACCCCGTCATATGACCACTTGTTGGATAGGTATTTTCATAAGCTTTCAAATGATACCCATTTTATTGGTATCGGTTACGTAGAACCGGATACAAACCGGATGATGTATTCGAACTTTTGGGTCGAATAACCGGGTAACCGGGTATTTCCCCCACAAAAAAATTACATTGCCGTAATCAGGTTACAAATACCTACCTGCGGTAAAAATTTCAAAATGATCCGAGCATAGCCCCTAAACTCAACTTGCTCCCCAAATGCTTTGTAAAAGTGTTGTACTCTGGCAAGTCAACACTTCCCTATACTTGTATTTGTTTTCGGTCATAGAAACAAAAAATTCTTTGTCCACACTTCCACACAATTTAAGAATTATCTCGAACGCTATCTCACCTTATTGAATTTTAGCAAATGTTCGATTTCCTCAAAAATATTTGTCGTTTCCATTTCCTTTTCCATCGACAATATGTCATTTTCATGACTTTCTGTGGCAATGATGTTACTTGGTCCGCTGCCACCAGTTCCATCATCATTACAGACTGATTGCGTACAAACATCTCTATTTAAAAATGCATTCACGTCCAGAGTTATTGACATTAATTAAGATATTGTTTTATTAATATATTTTTTATTTTTGCAAGCAATGTATAAAGTGATGTTGAGTGGGTGAAATACAAAAATACGAACAGGCAAAAATAACAAAATGACCAATAAAATTCGGGAATCAAAACAAAACTTCCAATAAGAAAAGAGCTTTATAGATTGTTTGTGCACGATAGGGCTCCCGAAATCGTTCATGATAAAATACGTGTGGCTACTTCATTAAATATATTGCCACCGAGCCAAAATGTAGAGCAAACCATGGTACAATCATGGTACAATGATATCAAGGTAGGGCTATGATACCATATGATTCTAATTTTTTTATTTTCTTGGCTTAATATGTCAACTTTTTTTGTTTATGTATGTGTTTTCTTTTCAATAACAAAAAGTTTGTTCAGAAAATATTCAAATTCGTGTGTTTTCAAAATGTTTATTTCAACGTATGCATCGACAAAAGCTAGAGTTTTTGTAGCGAAATAATCGTTTAGAGATATATAGTACATGATTTTGAAATGAAGTGTTGACTTTCCATTCAGTTATCGCGTTTTTCAATTATTTACTCAAAATAAATGCAACAAGTTGTTTGATTTTTTATTGTTTTGATACTAATTCTGACATTACAAGCCAAACAGGTAGACCTCTATACTTGCAATTTTTTCAAAGTTGACCTACCTTCTCTTCATTGTACCATGGGTACAATCATGGTACAATGAATTCAAGGTAGGGCAGAACTACCGTATGATTTAAATTTTTTTATTTTTCTGGCTTAATATGTCAACTTCATTTGCTAAAGTGTGTGTCTTCTTTTCAATAATAAAAAAAATGTTCAGAAAATATTCAAATTCGGGTGTTTTCAAAATGCTTATTGCAACGAATGCATCGACAAAATCTACAGTTTTTGTCGCGAAATAAACCATAAGAGACATAAAAATTTTGACCATTCATTCAGTTTTCGCGGTTTTAAATTATTTATTCAAAATCAATGCAACAAGTTGTTTGCTTTTTTATTATTTTGATAGTAATTCTGACATTACAAGCCAAACAGGTAGACCTCTATACTTGCAATTTTTTCAAAGTTGACCTACCTTCTCTTCATTGTACCATGGGTACAATCATGGTACAATGAAGAGAAGGTAGGTCAACTTTGAAAAAATTGCAAGTATAGAGGTCTACCTGTTTGGCTTGTAATGTCAGAATTGCTACCAAAACAATAAAAAATCAAACAACTTGTTGCATTTATTTTGAATAAATAATTTCAAACCGCGAAAAATGAATGAAAGGTCAAAATTTCTTTTCAAAATCATGTTCTATATATCTCTTATGGTTTATTTCGCGACAAAAACTGTAGATTTTGTCGAGGTATACGTTGCAATAAGCATTTTGAAAACACCCAAATTTGAATATTTCCTGAACAATTTTTTTATTATTGAAAAAATACACACACATAAACATATGAAGTTGACATATTAAGCCAGAAAAATAAAAAAAAATTGAAATCATATGGTTGTTCTGCCCTACCTTGAATTCATTGTACCATGGGTACAATGATATCAAGGTAGGGCTATGATACCATATGATTTCAATTTTTTTATTTTCTTGGCTTAATATGTCATCTTTATTTGTTTATGTATGTGTTTTCTTTTCAATAACAAAAAAATTGTTCAGAAAATATTCAAATTCGGGTGTTTTCAAAATGCTTATTGCAACATATGCATCGACAAAGTCTACAGTTTTTGTCGCGAAATAAACCATAAGAGTTATATAGAACATGATTTTGAAAAGAAATGTTGACCTTTCATTCAGTTTTCGCGGTTTTCAATTATTTATTCAAAATAAATGCAACAAGTTGTTTGATTTTGTTATTGTTTTGATACTATTTCTGACATTACAAGCCAAACAGGTAGACCTCTATACTTGCAATTTTTTCAAAGTTGACCTACCTTCTCTTCATTGTACCATGGAGCAAACTGCCTTCTTAAATTATTTTGTAAATATTAATTTACAAAGATTCATATAATTATAGATGTCTTGTACAGAACTTGATAAGAATTAAATAAAAAATATATTTATGTCACGGCGAAGATTTCAAATTGTGGCGTAGGCAAAAAAATACATTAGCAAGAAGGGATTTTAAAATGTTTTAAATTGTCGTCACACAATGTATGTTATTTTGACACATATTATGTAACCACAAGTGTCTTTTATTTTGTGAACTTATGGTCGGTTTCTGTACCTGCAAGAATCTCTTTTACAATTTTTTCCTATATTATACAGGGAAATAAAAATATAATAATTATATTCGGTTTAATTTTTCTTAAAAGGTTTAGTTTATTTGTGGTTTGCCTTTAAAAATCAAAATTTTTGCTTCGTATAAGCGAATTCCGTTTTAAGCCATTTAAAAAGGGATAGGAACGCACATATGGCCGAATATGCATAATGAAATAGTTTTCTTCAATTTTATTAAATGCCGAAACTTTTTTGGTAGTTGTCTGGACTTACTACAAAAGCGGAGGCACAACCTAACAACAGCTATTCGAAAGTGTTATTTCATTAGCTATAGAAATATTTTTGACATATACAAAAGCTGACGATTATGAAAGGGATATAATGACAACAGTATAAAAGTGTTGCCAAGTCTATTCTTTAGTGCACGCAAGAACCATGGGCTGTACGTCAGAATAAACAACGCTAGGAGTTGAGTATAGACTTAATGGCGAATGAAAATTGATTTCCCTCCTTATGTCTGTGGCCATTGAAGACATTGAGGGGTGTTTTCTTAGTGATATAGGCATGACAGAAGAATACAGGCAGTCGATGGATGCAGCTGCTGGGACAATGACCTGTCAAACCAATTTTGAAATTGAAAATTTTTAATGAAAAATTATTGAAGTTTCTAAAATTGTTGAAAAATGCGTGTCATAAGAACCTCCGATTGGTGTCGTATTCTTATACGCTTAAAAAGAGTTATTTTTGACAAAACATTTAAAAAAAGTTGATATATCAATGTTCCCAAGCGTTGATGCATCTACCTCAATTCTTCTACCATGGATATAGGTAAAGACAGATTTAACAGATAGTCGTATAAAAATAAAGTAAAAAACATGAGGTTCGGCCGGGTCGAACTGTTAATAATATCCACCACTGGATAATGAAAACATTTTTATATAAACGTTTATATTTTATATTAAAGTATCCGCATTCAATAGCAAATTCATACTACAAAGATTGTTAGCTATTGTGAGTCTTAAAGCAAATGGATAAAAAAATATTTATATAAAAAATGACATAACACTGTTTTGTTCTTGATTTAAATAAGCAAACAGAAATTTGACTGGAAAGAGATATTTTTTCTTGAGCAGCATTGATAAATTGTATAGAGATATTTTCACAATCATGTTACCACTCAAGCCCTAAACTTATATTATTTATCCTAACGGATGTCCAATGTCTGAAAATATCCTGTTATGTGTAAAGATCATTAGACAGAGAAATTTAACGCATAAAACGTTTGTAAAGCAAGTGCAACTATTATTAGTAAAGGTCCTAATCGCCCTTGTGAAGTTTGTTAGGAAAGAAGATTAAAAAAGAACAGGGTTAAACGTTTGTTTTGTTTTTATTCAAAACTAAAAAAATACACACATACAAATTGCCCATATGCTTTGAGAAAACAGCCGCACCAAAAAATCTTATTTAAAAGCTTTATTCAACTTCCTCTTATTCTACAATGGTAACACCAGCAATTGCAAATTGCAATATACAGAGTTTGATCTGTGCTCACATGACGGCGTTGATCATTGTTATTCAGCTATGTTATCAACAAATAATCGAACAAGGAAGAAAGAAGAAGAGTGAACACAACAGTAAACAAAACGACATTTGTTAAAACCACAAGCAATCGTGTACATTTTTGTGTAATTTCTATTTTATTTTGTCAAATAAACGAAGAAAAAATTATACTTTTGTGTTTCTGGTCATCGCGTGTGTACTTTTTAAGGCAGTGCGGTAAATATGCAGAAATAATAATTAGACATTGCAAATATTTTTTGTTTTTCTTCCGTGCTTTGATTCCATTGGTGAAAAAGTGAAGTGCGTCTTTTTAATTAAAACCATATTATTGTTTTGGAAACATACTCGCGTTGTTAAGTGCAAGTGAAATTGTCCTTTGGTGTTATGTACTTCTTGTGTGAACAAATGACGTTCGTTCCGTAGTGCAAATTAAAATATTATTCGGTCTGCGGGGAAGTGAGGTTATGTTCACTTTTTTAAGTTAAATGTTGAACGTACTGTTAATTGATTCCTATGTCGATTATTACGAGCGAAATATTAACATCAACTAATCTGACTTGGCTCACACAATTTCTAGCCAAATTCCAAGATACATGTGAGTATTTTTCAAATATCAAACAAATTAATTGTATATTAAAGGGGTAAGGAAGAATATCATGATTAACCTGATGACGGGAAAAACTTGTTTGGCTTAGGTTAGACCAATTTAAAACCTTATGAAAACATTATGATTCATCATCGCCAAGCCGAGACAGCTAAAGCTACAATTTTGAAATTTTGGGTGATAAATGACAGGATTTTCGGAAATACGAACTAGAAGTGTATTCTTAAAATTAAGGATTTTTCTATTATTCTTTCCAAATATAGGAAAAACTTCAAATATATATAAAAAATTGAAAAATCTCACAATGAAAATTTGATTAAAAAATTGGTCGAAGTGATAATAATAAATAAATGATAAGTTGGAACACAATTTGTAATGAATATTTTTTCTTAAAATAGACTGATACGATCCATTGTCAATACCAAACATTCTATATCTCTAAGTAAAATCGTTTGCAGGGAACCTCCAAATTTAGTTAAGGTTATACAAAGGGCGATAAAAATAAGTTTGGAATCAGAACTCATAGAACTCAATATGAAGCTTAACAATAGCTGTCGAATTGTTATGCTTTAAAAACATAGCAGAATGTGGAAAAATAAGGACAATAAATAGTTTATTAATTGTTAAAAAATATATTTTTTTCTCATGAGATAAACCCT